TCAGATCAAAAGTTCAGCTTTAAAAGCCGGCACCAACTGCAAAGACACACTGTGTTAAGCTTTAAAACAGTTCAAAAGCTTTTTGGTTTGGCTCTGCAACCAGCTACCAGTACCGAAGCACTCGAGACATCCCCTGAACTTCCCCGGGCAGCGGTGAACACGTAACTCCACAAACCTGCGGTCATAATTTTGTCCTGAGAAGTGACGCCAATGGAAGAGCTTTGCGATTTGAAGCCTAGTTTCTGGGGGGCTGGAGGTGCAGTTACGGTACCCAACACCGCCGTCCTGCATCGACGCACGCTGCGTGCGAGCAGCGCGGCGCGGCGCTCGCGTCGTTCGCTCACCGCGCGCAGGCCGCTTTACCAAAGGTTCTCCTTACTGGGGCAGCAACCAGCATAACTGCCTCAAAAATAGCTCTGGAAAGCCAAGGGCAAAAAAATCACATGCTTGTAAACAGGCAAAGTATCGCGCAGGCATTTCCACACTGTAAAACCAGGGAAGAGGACGTCGCCAGCAAGGTCTGAGCGTGAGCTTAACGAATGACCTACGGGGCAGGCTGGATAAAGGCAGGGCCAACGAGGTCCCCGAGGCACTGGGCCGGATGCCACCGCAGATGCCACCGCAATTTTTATGTAAGGGGCTTTCCAGGCCGGCCAAAACGGAGCACAGAGGTTTGCTCCACACGCAAAGGAAAAGGCGGTGGCGACCTGCTGCGGCGAGAACCAGGGCCCCCAGCAAGCCGGCAGCAGGGCAGTGGGTGGTCCGGCTGGAGAGCAGCGCGGGAGGGGGACACCTCGCTGAGGACGCAGCGGGACAGCGTGGCGGTCGGGTGCAGCGAGGTACGCTGCTCAGCCGATTACGCCCATCAAAAGCTACTAGGATGCCTCCTCATCCAGGACCCTTGCTTATTTGTTTTCAAAAGGGGAGGCACAAGCAATAGGAACAGATTAATGGAAATAAACAGAATGTGTGCAGCCAGCCTCTTTAAATCTTTTAAATCAAGCTGTTTGGTTACTACTTTTCTCAACTGATTCTGATGAGGAACAGACATTGTCTCACCAGAAAACTATGTCTCTCCTCTACTTGGAGTCTCCATCAAAGAATATTTCATCCACAGACCTGCATTAGCCATTACAGTGCTAGGTACGAGGAGATTTACAATCTCTGATTAGAAACAGGAGAAAGCAGGAGATTCCTGGCAAATCCAGCACCAGGACTGCAAAGCAGAGCTGCAGAGGGGGCAAGAAGCTACAGAGGCTCCTGCATCCATTTATTGCCACCTGTCTGGGAGACTCCCAGGATCCTGCCTCGCTGCTGAAGCCTTCAGCAACTCCACCCTCCTCACCCCTGCCAGCTCCGCACAGCAAACAACAACAGGCGACTTAGACCCTTCACTGCGTCACCCAAAGCCCTGGGGCAGGAGCAGACAGCCAGGCAGGACCGTACCCCTCGACGGTGCTGAGCAAGGAGTAACGGTGGAACTAAGCTTTCGCGGCACGGGCAGTGGAGGGCTGCCTCTGATGGAAGTAGGGTCTCAGACCGTTTCTCCACCTCGGTTCACTTTCCGGTGCGTGTAGCGTTCCCCACTCCATTTACCACCTGCTCTTTCTTCATAGGCTTTTGCCATGCAGCCTCGGTAGCTACGGCACGAGCAGGGATCTGGGCACCTCACATATTGCAAACCTGACCCTCAACCTGCTGGACTCCTGCTGACTTCAGACTGTGAACCATGCTCTTCCCTGAACACAAACATTTCTTATTGTAAAGACAGATGTTTGAAATCACGTCTCTGCTAGTGAGCCAAAAGGTGTCTGGTGCAAGACAGCCATCTGGGCAAATGCATCAGCTCTCCAAGGAGCTCTCCTGCACACGGCAGGTATTACACTTGCCCTACACCCCCCCCCCCCACCTCTCCGATACTGATCCTGAGCACCCTGCACTGTATGTCTGTAATCTGGGGCTCAGGAACATACACATGACTTCCAAAAATATACCTTATAAGCGGTATAAAGAGACCTCATGCTTCTCTTCTGCCCATTACCCCCTTCCCTTTACCTCCACAATTCAAAGCCTCTTTCCACTTCCACCCAGGCCCCCTGCTCCTCTGCTCCATGGTCTATTTACTGCGTGAAATCACTTCCCCATC